AGCAGTAGCAGCAGCAGTAGCAGCAGCAACAGCAGCAGTAGCAGCAGCAACAGCTGCAGCAGTAGCAGCAGTAAATCCTAGGAAGCTGTACTGCTAGCCCCCTAACCCTAAGCAACCCGCGTAAACCCTACGAAACTTTCTAAACCCTGACTGCACCCTAAACCCTAATAAACCCTAACAAACCCTAACAAACCCTAACAAACCCTAACAAACCCTAATAAACCCTAACAAACCCTTATACACCCTAATAAACCACAATAAACCCTAATAAACCCTAATAAACACTAATAGACCCCCCTACACCCTTTCCTAGGCAACACAAAACCCTCATCAACACTCGTAAACCCTAATAAATTCTCCTAAGAGACACTAAACCCTAATAAACCCTAATAAGCCCTCTGAAGCCCTGCTTAACCTCTCTAAACCCTAGTAAGTGTTTGCTGCAGCAGATTATTTGATTGGTTTTGAACAATTTATTTATTATTTACTTGTTGAAGTGACATAGCATTGCCCCGCATGCAAAGAGGGAGACAACCCCACTCAGCCCCAAAACCTCAGCTGTACCGAAGGCGATGTACGCAGTTAACAAAGTTAAAGCCACCTCGTACTGAGGCAACCTGCAGCAGCAACAGCAGCAGCAGCAGCAGCAAGTGTAGCAGCAGCAGCAGCAGCAGCCACAGCAGCAAAAGCAGCAGCAACAAGTGCAACAGCAGCAGCAAGAGTATCAGCAGTAATAAAATATGCAGTCTAAACGATAGCACAGCAGCAATAGCTCCAGCAGCAGCTGCTGCAGATGCAGTAGCAGCACAATAGCAGCAGGAGACAATTGAGGAGACAGTTGTAGAGACAGCAGCAGCAGCAGCAGCAGCAGCAGACCTCTTTAGCTGAGAGCTTTTAAAAGACCAGCAGCACAACGCCCCAACTCCAACTCCAAACAGCAAACTCCCCGTCAACACCAACACAAAGTCAATTACAATCTGCAAGGTGAGCATACACCCCAAACGTACACACACAGACAGAGGCGTTGCATGCGCCCCTGCTGCCGATCCTGCTGCTGCTGATGCTGCTGCTGCTGCTGCTGCTGCTGCTGGCGATGCTGCTGATGCAGGGGTGGTGCTGCTGTCGCAGCGGTAGAAACAATATCAAGACGGGATATATCATCAGCACAGTGCAGCAGCAGGTGCAGCAACAGCAGCAGCAGCAGCAGTAACAGGATTAGCAGCAGCACTTGTGTGTACGTACATCTGCTACTCCTGCATTGGGTAGGAGGTCTCTCTGAGGGTTGAAGAAGAACTTGAAGACAGAGCGTGTGAAGGCGATGGAGACAGCATCATTCAGAATACTCTCTCCCATCAGGATAGAGACTAAGTTTGCTGTCAGCAGCGTGGTGCGGATGCGGGGCGAAGAGAGGTTTGAGTCTTCTCCTGCTGCTGCTGCTGCTTCTGCTGCTGCTGCTGCTGCTGCTTCTGCATCGTTTGCTGCTGCTCCTCCTCCTCCTGCTGCTCCTTGCGGTTGGGCTCCACCTGCTGTCTCTGCCGCATCGCTGCTGTTGCTGCTGTTGCTGCTGCTGTGAACTATGCTCCTTCGCGGGTTGTGAGTAGCTGTTTGGTTTGCTGCTGCTGCTGCTGCTGCATCATTTGCTGCTGCTGGTGCAGCGCAGCAGATACCATTTGTCTGTCTCAGACGGGGGCCCTCCTCTTTATTCCCATTACGAATATTTTGTGAGCATACAGCATTGCTGCTGCTGCTGCTGCTGCTGCTGCTGCTGCTGCTGCTGCTGCTGCTGCTTGCTGCTGCTGCTGATGGTTGTGCTGCTGCTTGGGGCTTGGTATACAGAACAGCTGCTTTATTTTTAATAAGATGTTGCCCCCCATAACGAGCTGAAGAAGCAGGCGGTAACACTAACTGATTAGAATATGTTTTATAAAGAAAGCGAGGAGAGTTAAGGAGACAAAGAACAGCAACAGTATCTGTTGCAGACATAAGAGCAGCAAATGCCCACAGAAAAGCTTTAATACGATGTGGGGGCCCCTGCAGCCCCAAAGCAGCAATATATGCATGCACGAAGCTAAGGCCGCAGTACAGCAGCAGAGTTGTTATCACAGTACCCCCGACAGCAAATAATATTATAGGTGCACCATTCTTAATTAAATCGTATTGTTCTAGGCTTAGGCCTGCATCTAGCACAATAGGAGGAAGTAAAACAAGATAAAAAAACTGCGGGTCAAAGTATAAGCCTGCTAGAGTAGCAGAGGGGCCCCCAGGGGGCCCCCCCTCCTCAGCTCCAGCAACAGAGACAGGTAAATGATGAGAAAAAGGCACTGCTGCATCTTCTGCTTCTCCGCTGTCGTTCAGGTGTACATACACCCTAATTAATAAACCAAACAAAGCCCCTACTAGCATCGAACCTGCAGAGTCTGGGAGATGCTTTATTCTTTTTGTATGCCCCCAGTAGCCGATAATAAAACATAATAAAAGGCATGAAGACAACACTAGCAAATTGAGAGTACTAAACGCAGACCCCCCAGAACCACGGCCACCAGAGCAGCTGCTGCTCTTTGTGCTGCTGCTGCTGCTGCTGTTGCTGCTGTTGCTACTGCTGTCTTGGTTGGTGTCTTCCTCGTTGCTCAGCACATATACACCTGAAGGGTCCCCCCATACGTTCTCTCCTGTTGCTGCTGCTGCTGCTGGAGCTGCGGTTGTGATGTCTGTATGGGCTGTTTCTGCTTCTGCTGCTGTTGCTGTTGCTGCTGTTGTTGCAGCAGCAGCAGCAGCAGCAGCAGCATCATTGCTCCCATTTGCTGCTGCTGCTGCTGAACTACTGGGGCTTCCCTCAGCACTTCTCGCCTCCTCTCCTCCCCATATAAAAGGAAAGACAGACCGCAGCACACTTTCAAGACTCAGGGGCCCCTTAGGGGCCCCCTCTGGGGGCCCCCCTGGGGCCCCCCCTTCCTGCTGCTGTGAAGGTAGCGCTCCTCCTGCTGCAGCTGAGGAACCCTGCTGCTGCTGCTGCTGCTCTTCTGACTTCCAAAAAGGAAAGGCAGGGAAACTCACTGCTGCTGAAGGAAACAAGAGCAGCACCGATACAACTGCTGCTGCTGCTGCTGCTGCTGCTGCTGCTGCTGGAGGCCTCATGCTCGTGGCACCGGAGAAGGCCCGAGACGGCCTGCTGCAGCAAGCCAGGCTCTTGAAACAGCAGCAGAAATGCCTTTGGAGACGCCTGTTGCTGCTGCTGCTGCTGTTGCTGTTGTTGTTGCTGCTGCTGCTGCACACGTGTTCTTGAAGCGTCACTGTCTCCCCGTTGCTGCCTAGAAGAGCAACCAGGCTAATATACTTTGCAAGGAATGGGGGAAGGTGAGCTGCGAGTAGACCTGAAGCTGCAGAGACACCCGAGTGCAGACACAACACAGCCTTGTCGGCTGCGATGGAGCAGCAGCAGCAGCAGCTGCTGCTGCTGCTGCTGCGGTGCTGGAGGTGGAGGAGACAGCTGAGCTGGGATCCGATCCCCAGGAGGAGAGGATCTCAAAGCAAAAGGAGGAGGGGGCCCCACAGCTAGGGAGAGAGGGGGGCCTCTTAAGGGCCTCCTCTGAGAGGGTCTTGCTGTTTGTGTGTGTGTAGCCTCTGCTAGCAGTGCTGCTGCAGCGAGCTGTCTCTGCCTTCTTTCCCCTTTAAAACCTCAAATAAATACTTTTCTATCACAGGAAAAGTCAATAAAATACACCTTCGAGGTGTATGTACACCTCAACTCGAGAGAGACCACCAGCCACGACGTCGCGCCGCTTGCTGCTGCTGCTGCTGCTGCTGCTGCTGCTGCTTGGCTGCAATACTCCTTCTCTCTCCTTTTCTTCTTTGAAAATCTGACTTATTTTAATTAATTAATTTAGTTTAATTTAAATTTACAGAAATTTCTATTTATACCTGCCTATACACCGTAGCGCAGCACGGTGGGCGCCGTCTCGCCGCTAGCAACACCAACAACCCCTTTGTAGTAATAAGGGTAAAACAAAACAATTAAGATAAATAAATTCAATAAAATTAATTTTATTTAATTAATTTAAATAATTTAAATGCAATTTAAATAAAATTTATCACCCGGTTAGAAGATGCAGTCCTTCTTCTTCTTACTCAGGGGTCTTCAATAACACTTACTGCTTTATAAGGTTTCTTTCTTCTTTACTAATTAATATATATATTTTTTATATAAAATAAAACTTGACCTCCTTCCATAGGAGAGACATCGCAAGTGATTGAGTTTGTGTGTCTGTCTCTTCTCCTAGTTAGGGTTTAAGGGTTTTAAGGCGTTAGGGTTTAGGGTTTAGGGTTTAGGGTTTTGTCTGCGCATCGAAGCCTTTTGTTTGTTCTTATACGAGACTGCCTCAGCAGTCTCTCTATACCCCATCATTAAGGGGCCTAAGGAGAGGAGGAGGCTCATCACACTCTGCTGCAGCTTCCGAGGTGTCTGTCTCTTCCTGCTGCAGATAAAAGAAGCGAGGGCTTTGTCTCTCTTCTATCTTTGTCTCTGCTCTTATCTCTACCTCTTCGTTTCTCTCCCTGTTCGGCAGTCAGTAGTTGTTCTAAGGGGTCTGTGCCTTATAGAAATGTCTCCTTACGAGGTGTCCCCTTATGAGGTGTCTCCTTACGGGGTGTCTCCTCTACATCCCCCCACAAACGCTCTAAGTTTGGGGGCCTAAACCCTAAAAAAGGGTTTAGGGGTTTACCTCTTTAGTCTTTGACAAGAGAAAGAGAAGGAGGGAGGAGATGTTATTCTTATTGCTCTCCTTGTTGCTACTAATCAATGCTGAAAGGCATTAGACCTTACAGCGTAGGGGCCCCTAAAGTACCCAGAGAGACAAAAGGAGACAGTAGATGCCTCTGTCTCCTTTTGCCCCTTTAATATGAGGAGACTGCCTTCTCTTATCTCTTTAACAGGAGGAGACTGTCTCCTCCTGTCTTGTTAAAGAGGAGACTGTCTCCTTTTATCTTCTGGCTAGGAGGAGACTGTCTCCTCTTATCTCTTTAATAGGAGGGGACTGTCTCCTTTTGTGTCTCTCAATTAAAACCCGTTCGTGCCTGCCCCTAAAGGGATACACTTTGTCCTCTATCAAGAAGAGAGAGGAGACTGTCTCCTCTATTCTTTCTATAAAGAAACTGTCTCTTCTTT